CGACTTCCAAAGTCCACCTCTGTTCCACTGGTTGGTTGTTCTCACTGTCAGGAAATTCCTCCTTATTTCCAGGTTAACCCTCTCCTTGGTCAGTTTCCATCCATTATTCCTTGTCTGGCCTTCGGGTGCCTTGGAAAATAGCTTGACCCCCTCCTCTAGGGGCTGCCCCAAAGAAGAGAGGGTCAACTTATTTTCCAAAGTGCCTGAAGGCAGGACAAGAAACAATGGATGGAAACTAACCAAGGAGAGAAGCAACCTGAAATTAAGGAGAAACTTCTAACAGTGAGGACAAAGAACCAGTGGAACAGCTTGCCACCAGAAGTTGTGGTTGTTTCATCGCTGGAAGCTTTCAAGAAGGGACTGGACTGCCATCTGGACTGCCACTAGACAGACACTTGTCTGAAATGGTATAGGGTCTCCTCTGTGAGCAGTGGGTTGGACTAGATCACCTACAAGGTCCCTTCCAGCTCTATTCCGATTGAAAAACATGCTAAACCACCAGTGTGCTGTGCAGCTGCCTAAAAAGCCAACACAGTCCTAGGCTGCATCAATGAAAGGGTTGGGCTAGAAGACCTCCAGTGCCCCTTTCAGTTCTTACATCTAAGACAGTTGTTAAATGAATTTTGCTCCATTTTTTTTGACTCTTTTTTTTTTTTGGTGACAGCCATTAAGCAAATTACCGCCAGGAATTGCCTTCCATTCGAAGAGAATCTCTGACTTTAGGCTAGATCCATGTATCTGTGCACCTAATATGAAAACCCAGCTCTAGAGAAAATTCTAAGGCTGAAAAAGCTGGAAAAAAAGATATTTTTTTCCAGCAAATCGTCCAGACAGCACACCCATAATATTGAAAAGGGAGGCGAAAACTTAAAACTAGGCTGCAGGCAAGGACGCATCAACAGCTTCCAGAAACCCTGTCTGTTGAATTGGCCTATCGAGTTCCCACTTGACCTCCGAGTATTTCCACCTCGATCGAGTTACAACTACCCGGGCCAACTACTTGTACCCAACACAACGAAGAGGCTTTTCTCTATCAGCATCCTAAGAATAGTGAAACTTATCAGCTTCACCCAGGGAGTTGTTAAGTGGCATTTGATGCCTGAGTGATGCCAGATGAAAAGACGCGGAGCTGCACAAAGGAGAGTCAGTCTGGAGGAAATAGTGTCCTTTGGAACTAAAGTTTGTCTTGGGGTGGCTGGAAAAGGAGAATCTTTTTTCCAACCAGAAAATAGATCCAAGACAGATCCTTCTTTTTTAAAAAATAAATAAATTATTTATTCAAAGTTTCAAAAATTTTAAAAAAGGGAAACAAGTTCTCACATCTTACAGCGATATCGTACAAGTGTACATGTCCTTTAATACCAATTAAGTTCATTTACCATAGGTAAATTTACTCTAGCTAATTTACTAGTTCCTTACTTATACTACTGTTACAGTGCGATACTTATCTATTTACATTACTGTACACACATAGATCATATATACATATATACATACATAGCCTCGGGAAAGACCTGTGAATGTTGGTGAAGCCTATAAAGTCTCCTGCTCGAGCAGGGGGTTGGGCTAGATGACCTCCAGGGTTCCTTCCAACTCTTGGTTACTCTGTTAATTCATCAGTGGCACTTCCAGAAATTGTGGGTGCTCCATCCCTGGAGGTTTTTCAAGAAGGGATAGGGCAGCCATTTGTCTGAAATGATATAGGGCCCCCCCGCTTGACAGCGGGCTGGACTAGAAGACCTCCGAGGTCCCTTTTCCAAGCCTGTTATTTTCTTATCATCCCCAGCCAGGATGAAAGCCGGTGGTGCAAATGTTTCTCTCCTGTGTAGACCTCAGATTCCCGCGAGTCAGGTGTGACACCCCTGGCAAGAAAGTTCTGTCAACCTTGGAGAAATGGATCGTTGTGGCATTTAAAAAGAGTTTTCACCAGGTGCAACACCTCAGCCTCGGAGGCCTCTTGCTGACTTGAAACTACAGAACAACCTTCAAAGTGACTGAAGGCTCTTCGTGACGGCACACGTTAACCAATTAATTTTCTTTTTTTTTTTCTAAAGGAGAGAAAAAACCCAGAGGGGTGGGAAAGATAGAAACCAGGCATTTGCCCGGAGTGTGCCGTTCCAAGTTGTGTCCTGCCCGTCTTCTTCTCTGGAAATACAAACCAGGGTTTTGCTTTTCAAGGACCGTTAATACCGAACCAAGAATGGGTAGTCCTCGCTTTATGGCCACAATGGAGCCCAACATTTGGAAAGAGGGCCTGATGAAGCGGAACCGCCAAACTTTACGTGTGATTCTGGTGCAGCTGGCCGCATGGAGTTGAGAGTGGTGGGGTTGCACTTGAGCTTCCTGTTCCTGTGCAAGGACATGTATTCTATTGGCTGTTGTCAGATTCCCATGGGTTCAGGTAGGGGTCATAGCTGGCTCTACAGGTTGTCTGAGCTATGTTTGGTTGTGTTCTGACCCAAACCTTGTTTCAAGGAAACAAACATGGAGCAGAGGGAACAGCGAAACCTTTTAATGGTTTTTTTAAAGAAGAGACTGGACTGCCATTGGTCAGAAATGGTGTAGGGTTTCCTGCTTGGGCAGGGGGTTGGACTAGATGACCTACAAAGTCCCTTCCAACTCTGGTATTCTATATTCAATGGAAGAGAAGTTGAAGCCTTCAGAAGTTGTGGGAGCTCCATTATTGGAGGCTTTCAAGAAGAGACTGAGCTGCCATCTGTCGGAAATAGTGTAAGGTCTCCTGCTTGGGCGGGGGGTTGGACTAGATGACCTACAAGATCCCTTCCAACTCTGTTAAATCTATAACCTTTCCAGTGGATCAAATTGGCCCTTAATCAAGAACTTATTTTCATTCTAGGCTGGGTTGTTCCCTTCTTTCTTTTCAGCCTTTTTCCTTCTTTTTAATTTCTTTTTTTTCTTCTTCTTCTTCTTTCTAATCCTCAAAAATTTGAAATGCAAAGAGATTTCCAGACAGGAGGGGAGGGAAGATATTATTCTCCGACGGGAGAGATCAAAGGCTGCGGGATGAGGAGATTTTGCTCACATCCGTTGCCACCCCAAACTTTCTGACATCTGTGTGGCCGCCCCCCTCGAACTGTACTCCGATAACAGATCCCGAGCTCCGGCAATTCAGAGAGCTACACAGCGCCTGTTTTCCACACATGCCCCTTTTTGTGAGTCCTCCCACACCCCCATTGCCAATTACCTTCGGACTCAGAAGCAACCAGAAGGGGATAGGAAGGAGAAAGGGGGAAGAGAAGAAATTGATGGGGAAGGAGGAGGATAGAAAGAAGCAGAGAAGGATGGAGAAATAGAAGGAGAAACGAGAATGAAAGGAGGAGGAGGAGAAGAGGAAGGGAAGGGAGGGGTGGGAGGAGGAGAGGGAAGGGAGGGAAGAATGGGGAAAGGAAGGGAAGAATGGAGAAAGGAAGGGAAGAATGGGAAGAATCTCTCTCTCTTTCTCTCTCTCTTTCTCTCTGTCTGTCTCTCTCTCTCTTTCTCTCTCTCCCTCTCTCTCCCTCTCCCTGTCTCTTTCTCTCTCTGTCTGTCTCTCTGTCTGTCTCTCTCTCTTTCTCTCCTTCTGTCTCTGTCTCTCTCTGTCTCTCTCTGTCTCTCTCTGTCTCTCCCTCTCTCTTTCTCTCTGTCTCTCCCTCTCCCTCCCTCTCTCT